AAACATTTCTGGTTAAGTTTTTTTTGCACTAAAATCTGGTTTTATTTTTGTACTTTATACAAGAGGAACTGTGCTGAATTTTGTTTATCTTGGTTTTATTTGCCTGCTAGGCATCTGATGTGTTACCATAATTCTACATTTCAGCTGTTGTAAATCTTAACAAATTATACAAATTTATGGATGCTTAAGACCAGTTTCAAAGAAAATTTCAAATCCACCCAGCAGTTAATGACTAGACACATATTTTCCATGGCAAACTGCTTTTCACTGTCAGATATGCCTTCTTCAAAGACTATCACCTTACAATTAAGTCTACTTTGATACTAAGAAGAATAAATGATAATAAAAATGATCAATTATGGAGGTAAATGGTAAACTCTTAATCAAGTGTTATTGTTGTAAAAAAGACAATGAGTGGAAGCTAGCTAACAAAAATTAGTTCCTCAGAATCTATATCAGTCTTAGTGACATTAAGTTTGGACTAATGATGCTATTGTATACCCTCCAGGTACTGGAAAAATTCTAATTAAACTTCAAAAGAAGCCCCACACCAACCTCTATACTCAAACATATTCATTTTCTCACCTATTCTAGAGTTACTGTGTGAAGCTTTTGTTCGAGGATTGAATTTGTTGCCAAGGGGCCGACTGACCCAACTAGAGTCAAACAATATAGGACTCCCATGATCACAAACACAAACATTACATCAGGGGCCATTTCTACACATCCCTTACGCAAAAGTCACTAGATATTTCATAAAATTCCATTTCTGAAAAACGTTCCATTAAGCTGTAGGAATTTTACCTGATAAAACATCATGAACCGAGTGAAAACATTCAGATAAATATATCTTTGGATGCCATGTGTAGCACAAGCTTTAAATGATAAAAAGAAAATAACAACCATCAATGTGCCCTTGAGATCAGTAAAAAATTTAAAAATAACAACTGATTGAAGTATTATATTTTGTTTTATGCAAGTATGTTTTCTGTTAAACTTTGAAGCCCCAATTGCAACCAATACCCTTGTTAATGACATGTTATAAATTTTTCTGTTATCTCTGTTTAGTGGGTTAACCCTCTGACCTTACCGTTTTATTGTCCAGAATGTGAGGGCCATTCTCTAAGCAGGTATCTACACTAGCCACGTCTTTATATGTGACAAACCCAAATCCCCTGAAATAAACAAAGACTTCAATGAACAACGACATTTATTGGAAACCTTATCTGAAACATTCACTACCCTAACACTCGTACAGCATTCCTAAAGCTAAAATCCTTGCATAGCAAAATTATGTTTTCAATGATATTAATCTGCAGCTACACTGTAAAATAAACGGGTATTGACAATCATGTGTTGATAACTTTTTTTCCAGTAATACATTAAAATAACAGAACCCTCTTTGCTACGTGGCTCTGGGCAGTTAAAAAACATTACAAGGACCAAGGTATTATTCCACCTACTAATTGCCCTCTACCTAAGTATGTCATAATCATTTCATTCATTTTTTGTTCCCTTCTACCTGGAATGTCAGGGCAATGGACCTTAACTAAAACAGAATGTAAACATTGTATTATAAGTCTCTTATTATAAAGCCATTCAAGTGATATTGAAGAAAGTTGTGTAATTATTTTGTGCTGTATGTTTTCACCACTTGTTCTTTCTTCGTCATAATTTCAAAGATCAAAGCGCCTCTAATTAACATGACAACTAACAATCTAACTTCCGAGGCTATTAATTGTCTAAACTATAAATATGCATTTCCTTTATTACAGATTAGATGGCCATTTACGTGCGATTCATTCAAGCGTGAATGTAAACATACCGAGATCGTTTAGTCGTTGGGTCTTTCATGACCATTGCTTCTTTAATTTCACCAAAGCGACCAAAATGGTCTTTTAATGATTCTGAAATAATAAACAAGCATGAGATAAGTCAGATTTCTGCAAGTGAACTTCGTGACATCGGTGTTAAAATTAGCTGGAATCGACGCGATCGCCGACCATTGATCAATTAAGCGGAACTCACAAAGCGTATCCCACGCTGTAAAATTCAAAATAAAACACATGGTCAGAAAATATTCGACTTACCCACTGTAGTTTGCCAACTTAGTCCCCCAATAAACATTTTTCTGTAAAAACCAAGAAAGAAATGTTAAAATGAAAGCCATGATGAATGACCTAGATAACTCGTAAAGAAACAGAAAATTTCCGAAACAGCGCGGCACTGAACGAACACAAAGATCAGCTGAAAATGACATGTGTTTCTATTCCTCACCCTGGATCGTTAGGGACATCTCCGTCTAGCGACCCGTTGGATGGGGATTGTGGATTTGTAGGGTCCATCTTCATGTTGTCTAACGTACACTACTGCTAACTACACTACACAGTAAAGAGAAACTCCTGCACGTGGGAATAGCTCAAAGATCTACTATAGAACCATTGTGGGTGGGCAATTCCCGCGCCTCGCTAAAGCGCGAAGTGTCATTGATTGACATAGAACTGCTTCGATCGATTGGTTAAGACGATGTCGTCCTGGCAACGGTAATCAGTTTTCTGACGTTAAGAGCACCTGTCAATAGGAGGGTACCGCCTTTCATAGAAAAACATACCACAATGAAAACAAACACGCCCCACGAGATAAACTACATTTGTAATGCATGAATGAAAAATTATTTTTTCATTTATCGATTAATATACCACAGTAAATATTCGGTGGTATGAAAAATTAACAAATATACATTGTGATGCATTTTTAATAGAGTTAGGCAACCAAACCACAATGCGTGCCATTGTTGTCAAATATTTAATTAGATTAAACAGATAACGGGTACATGTTTATACCCTGTAGAGGCTAGGGGAAAACAATAGATAAAGCTGAAAGATATAAACATGAAAGACTTTCATATATAGCTCTTATCTAATCATCGAACCACGAATTCTCCAAAATACCAACATCTCCGAGGGTGTGTCGTTTTCAGAGCGCAGTGCCTGACCATTGATTTCGCAGTTTTTGCAGATAAAAAGTTGGCATTGCGCGTGAAATCTCGTCTTATCATTTATAGGATTCTGTAGGGAAAATATCAGAGAAAAAAGAAACATGGCAGGATCTGTTTTCTAACTTCTAGGATATAAAGTGCACATTTTCTCTATCATTCTGTAACTTTTTTTTTATAGAACACGCAGAGCAACTACAGTCTTCATATTTATAATTACATTTTTATAAACTCGGATTTTTTCCCCGATAAAATGTGTTTATTTTGTTTCTATAACAGAAGGAAGGTAAAGTTTCCTCTAAATATTGCAAAAGTCTGTTGAAAACCTAACTGGTTATTTATTTGTATATTGTTTCTCTATAAATAGAAAATATTTCACACTCAATATCAATATAATTATATAATGTAATCAGTTGTTAGTTAAAAAAGGTTTGTGATAGATATAAAACATCCGATAATAACAAGTCTCAATATTGATTTCATAAAATTGCAGGTATATTTATGCAATAAATAAATGAATAAATACATAGAGTGCTGCTCGGTCTACATGTAATTGTATATTTATATATAGACAGTTGAACATGTATTGGGACAATGGCTACTCGAGAAGTCAGAAAAACATTGTTTTGTTCTATTTATTGGCGTTGAATGTTATAAATGTTTATCTGTCAAACTTTCATACTAATGTAAGGATTATAAGGCTACTGCAGAGTAAAGAATCCGCATGCACAATCAAACATGAGCTACCAGTAATTTTCTTTTGTAGATTTTTTAAAGTGAATAATATTTTAATTACAATGTTTTGAATTATATTTACTATTCAGTGAATGAAGCATTAACTTCAAATGTACAATCTTACAAGTATCAAACCAACTCTGGTATACATAGGATAAAATTTCTAAGCTTTTTGAAAAAAGAATTTTCCTTTTTGTAATTTGTGACGTTATCTTCAATTTTCTCACTTTAAATACCGCCCACTGTATATGGATGGTATAGTCTGTGCCCCAAAACCAAAACGCCCCATGCATGAGCGCCCCCAAAATTTTTATACCGGCGCAAAAACGAGCGCTACAAATACAATTCGCGGGTGCCCCAAATTCGAGCGCCAAAATATTATAAGCATCGTCCCATAACTTTTAAACTAGTAAATAATTCGTTGCTTTTATTACATATGTCCAAAATATATATCACGAATACTGTGTAATGTGATTTTAAAACAAATTTCTTTTCCATAATTTTTGAATGAAGTAAAAACAAGAAAGTTCATTTCAAGACTTTTCTAGATTTTACTAATAATGTTATAATTGAAAATTTCAATTAATGTTTTTCAATAAATTGTGCATAATTTGTCACAAAGCTCTTCTGCGAATAGATATAGACTTGTATAAGTCACTGTAACTATAATTTATTTTTAAAGTTTACCCCATATAATATACTCTAAACTCCCGCAACCACTTTCAATCCCCAGACCCTTTTATCGTGAACATCATTTATGTAACCAGCGAGGAGAAAAATGCGACGTACCAGACCAGGATTCAACCCCCCCCCCCCCCCCCCCTTCGCATCACTAAGTCAGGTGCTCCAACTGCACTATTTGGCCACCAAATTCCAATATCTGCTCTACCGCCATATTTTTACCAATCGAAAATACAAATGTAAATCGTAGAATATGAAATTTTCTAAACACAATAAACTGCACATTATTTTTATGTCCATCAAACTTTTATTTTCCCACTCTCTGGATTACTTATTTCTATTGCGGGAGGTGGCATGCGCGGATCCAAGAATTTTTTTCCGGGGAGGGGGGGTGTTCTACACGCACTCAAAAATTATTTCGTGTGTGTGTTTATGGGGGGGGGGGGTTTACAAATTGCTTTCATAACCCTCTCCTAACCACTTTACCATGGGTCCGCGTTTTCTAAGGGGGTCCAAATTCTTTTTGGCTACTTATAACATTATCTGAATTTGATGGACCCAGAGATTTAATTCAACATCACCGGCATTATGTAGCTGAAAAATTTTCAGCACATGGCATAAGTTGAGGAGGCAAAGCCCCCCCCCCCCCCCCCGACGCACACACATACACTGGCACTCAGTAGATTTAAAATAGTAAATCAGAATTATGTGCATTCATAAACCAATTTTTCATACATACACAAAAAAGTCTTATCAGCATGGCCGTAGGATCCGGGGGGGGGGGGCGTGCCTCCCCAATAATTTTGCCGATATATAGATTACTATAGAAAACATAGATACTATATGCCTGTGCCCCCTCAATAAAAACATCTGATTACCTTTTTTTTTTTTTTTTTTTTTTTTTTTTTTTTTTTTTTTGCTTATCAAGAAATTTTTGGTAGTAGATAGTGCCCCTTCAACTGAAAATGTATGGCTGTGCCCCCCCAAACTGAAATTGCTTCCTACGGGCCTGTTATCTGAAGATTTCTTATCTGAAGAAATATTACATTGCATTTTTTTTTAAATTAAGTATTTCTAAAGGAAATTTGATAGTAAAATTAGTTCTCAGAAACCTAACAAGTACCAAAACCTCAGTTTTTGAACAAATAAGATGTTAAAAATAAACTTGTGAGAGAGGCACTAGGCGAGGATCCAGGAATTTTCCAGGGTTGGTCCACCCCAGTCCAACTAAAAAAAAAAAAAAGAAAAAAGAAAATCAACCCCAGTCAAAAAAAAAAAAGTAAACTCCTTTCCCAAACCTGAAAAAATTGCAGAAAGAGGGATTAATATAAGCTTCATGGCTTCTTTCCCAATTCTGCTGATTTTGTAACCTTACCTATGGTCAATAAAATATTGTTTAAACTATTATAAAACGTGAAAAAACTTATTTCGGTCAACTCAGCTTTGTAGACTGACGATTCAAGTAATGTCAAATCTTATGAAGAATTTTAAAATTCGCACTACTTATCAGCCGGAATAGCTCAGTTGGGAGAGCGTTAGACTGAAGATCTAAAGGCCCCCGGTTCAATCCCGGGTTCCGGCACGGAACAATCCGGCGGCTGATACTTTTTTTTTCTCGTATATATATTTTTGAAAATAGTAGTGCTATATTTAATATATAAAGACTCAAGAGATGCAATCCATATCATGATTCTTGTAATTTATGCGCAATCATTTTTCAAGTGGAAGAAATTAAAATTTCGTTATTCAAGGTTACCAACGTCAAGGCAGAACATGTTTGAGCAACCACCAAACCTTTTACTAAAATTACTTCTGAGGACAATGAACATTATAAAATCAATATCGTTATCTTTTATTTATTTATGAGCTGGAAAACAAAAAAAAAAAAATATCCATTTATAATGCATCGCGCCATTCACATCCTGTACCTAAGCATAAATAAAGACCCCCATTCAATTTATTTCAAATTCGAAGCTTTTTAGATTTAAACTTCAAAACTGATGTAATTTTGTGGAACCAAAGTTTTTCCTTTTAAATGAAAATTTATAAATTTAATATTGTCTCAAACCTTTAAAACACTTTGCCGCACCATGACTCCGAAAAACTCGGAATGTGTCATGATTGAAAACTTCTTATGTTCAAAATACATAAGCGCAACGCTGTTGTTCAGCAAAAACTCGGTTCTCCCAAGCATTCATTTTTATATATTACAAAGTGATGTAATTAAATAACCGGTATCGAAAACACAACCGTTTTTGTTTGCACAAAATATTATCAAAGACACAAATATTATTTTGTTACCACAGTGTGAATAGGGTGTCGTGAAAGGCATGCTTTCTTTAAACAATTTGTGGAACTAACAAACATGTGTTTACGCGGCGGATCTGTAGCCATGATAAATTGAACGACATCGAACCTTAATGTCTGACAAGAATCTTAAGAGATTGGCATAAAACAAACACCCAAGTTAATTTGTCATTAAACAATTTGTTGACTTTAATCACAGTCAAAATCATATTGAGATTGATTTGTAATTTGAGAAGGAGGCGAAAGCCAACCAGCCCAGACAAGGAACCCCCGTATACCGTGCCAAGAATTTGTTTTGAAGGTCAATATCAGTCTTTAATTCACCACAGTCATTTAGATAATTATGCTTATCTGTATAATACATATTTTATTCTTAATTATTAGGAAAATGTATTTGTTTAAATCATCGTCAATTTATTACAGGAAAATAGTTCATATCAATCTTATTACTATATTTTTGATGTTGCTATGATTATTCATTTTCCCCATATTATAAAACATAAGAAAATTATCTTCGTATTTTCTTCACAAAAAGTATAACCTTCCAAATTTTTGCTTCTGAGAAAGATTTTCTTCTGTGAAAAAATCCAATTATCACGGGTATAAACATGAAATAACAAAATACTATATTTTTGAATTTCAAAACCAATCTCCATGTTCATTATCAAGTAAACTGATTCTTTGAAGTACAGTGGGATACTCCATTTGAAACCTTACTTTACCAATGGATGAAGTCGCACTTCGTGTGAATTTCATATTGTGTAGAGGTGGTCTGCCAATTC